ACAGACTGAAATTGTGAATGCTTGTGAGGAGGTCGCTGTGTTGCAGAAGACCGCAGAAGAAGGAGGCGCACGCCGCTGTATTCATGTGCCGATGACGGAGCGGCTGCCTTCTTGCCAGAAGCTCCGTGAGAGCGGTCTGCCAGGTTCCTGAAAACGATGAAGTTGTCATTAAACAGAAATCCTGAAAGTACACGCATACCAGGCTGCTTAGACAGGTTCTCTCTGTAACGAGTGCATCCATGCGTGCAGGAGGGTTTGTTTTTTTCTTGTTAAATTTTCTCATTATTTACGTAAAAGCTGTTGCACCAAAGCGTGGAACTTGGCCTGACTGCATGCCAGGGGAACCTTTGAGCTTTCAGGAACTTTTGATGGGTAGAGGTTGGCGCTGACCAGTGCCCTTTGGCATCTTCCAAGCAGATGGGACGTGTTCTTGCTGATACCAGCAGAACGAGTGGACTGTGTCAGACCAAGGTCTTCTCTCTAGCAGTGACCAGTGGCTATCTAGGAAAAAGTAGGAGAGCGTGGCTAGCAGTGTGATGGATGCTGCCCGCAGCGCACCCCTAGAAAGCGTTTCCAGGCGGGGGATGCCCAGTTGGATGCTGTGTACGGCAGTTTGACGCAGCCAGAGTACTGGCCTGCTGTTCTCGGCAGAGGTGGATGCATAACCTCAGTGTTGAGAGTGAGGACCTTTTAAGGAACGTAGGACTATTGTTGTACAAAACTTTCTCAGTGCTCTCTCAAATGATATTTTTTGCTTTCACAATAGGGTTATGAATACAGCCGGAGCGGAAACCCTACCCGGGACTGCCTGGAGAAGGCTGTGGCAGTGCTAGATGGAGCTAAATACTGTAAGCAATTAAGAAGTTCCTCGAGCAAGTTGTTGGTGTGTGTGTGTCTCCCGACAGTGTCGGCAGCGGGCACGGCTCGGGGAGCGAAGCCAGCGAGCTGTCGCAGCAGCTGTGTCGCAGCAAGGCTTTCACCGCCGCCCGCTGCTGGTTACAGCCACGAGCTGCGTCGTGGTGGGAAAAGAGTCCGACCGTTACCGTTCAGGAAAGTCCAGCTCGCTCGTGGGACTAGCTGTAGTGACTTTGCTGCCTCTCGCTGCGTTTGGTGCCTGAACCACACGCAACCCACCCCCGTGCTGCGGC